AGAACTAGGACTCTCCGCTTAATGCGCCCGCCGCTTATTAAGCCCAATTTGGGCTGGGCCCGAGGTGGACTTAATAGCCGGCGACTACTGTAGTCTATTCCCTCCACTACAGTAGGGTGTATAACTACTACAGACGTGATACCGCCTTCCGGCTATGCCAGAAAGCGAGCTAGACGCTTCTGACTCGCCCGCATACGGCTCGAAAGCCAGAATAATGACGTAAGTGCGCTTAACATTTAGGCCCTCATGGATGACGTGAATGGCATTGTGTAAAGTGCAAACTCTGCAAAATTCGGTCCTCTAGTCCTTCGAGTAACTAAATAATACTACCGAGGGGGGTTATCGCGCAAACGCCAGCAAACTGACCAAAAAAATATGCCACCACCACCTCCTCAGCAAGCCGGCCGGCGTTAGCCAGTAAAGTACTTCTAGGTTATGTTTGATACAGTCTGCTAAACATGGCAAATACCAGACTACAACACCTGAGAACCCATCCACTGGCATGAAAATCAAAGGGCCGGAGGACTGGGAAGTGTGATGTTGAGGAGCCTACAAACTGCACAGTAGCTGATGAGTCCGAGCCTCCCTTCGACCGTTTAAGACAGTGGTATCCGTAAGAAAATGGAGACACTTTATACACTGCATTTTTTTCCTAATCCACCTTTGGTCAGAGTTCTCTTCTCCTTACTAACTTTAACCAACAAGAGGCACAGTGAGGAACGACAAGAGGTCGGCGTTGCCATCATTCAAGTTCGACATTGGTTGCTGATCTTGATAAGGATCACCGATGTCGGACACGCTCCCGCATGGTTTTTGCACGGCCCTCCTTACTTGTGTTCATCGGAAGGGACTATAAGAATCATTGTTATTCTAGTGTCTCTCGGCTAACCCAGTGCACAAACCAGAAACTTTCCTTTTTCGTTGGAAGCGATCTCTCATGTTGTTGATGGATGTCTAACCCACTGCGAGATCAAACTCTTCTCTTGCTTCCGAGCGCAAGGTCAACTAACCAACCAATCTAACGATTATCAATCGGTCTCAAAGGCCCACTTTCGTCGGTGAGCCGCAATGATTATTTTCTAACTATAACTGATGAATATTCGCAGTTCCATCTTCGTTTGCCTACCCTGGTTAGACTGGTGAAACAATCAGAATGTTATATTCCAGCTATTCCCTATATTTGATAGCCCCGAACACCGCCAATCAAATCAACCGAATTCCACAAATACCTACAAGGTAGAGTGGCAACTCATAAGCTTAAGTCTAGGGAAGCACCCATGTACACCGGGAGGTATAGCGTTCGAACCAAACCTTGCAGGAAACCATTTTATCTGACAATCAACCCATCAGGCACAGGGAGTCTGTGCTAATTGACGTTTTGAACTTGGCCTGCGGGAAACAGAACTATTTGCGTCGACGGGCGTTCTCAGAGTCCCTGGCATATAGCCCTAGTCGGATCACGTTTGTGATGTCCGTGAACCGAAGCTATAGTATTCGCAGGGGATGCCAATTAGTGAATACCTCGACAATTTTCAGGTCAGAGACACCACTGAGACTGACTCGCCTTCCTGGGAGAACCAGATTAACCAGTTAGTTGGTAGCCTTGCAAGCCTGCGTTTG